TTCACAGCAGGAGTGAAATACATAGTTACGAAAATATATACAGTTTGATTCGCCCCAATTTGCGATCAGTACCACACTCAGCTCCACGCAGTATACGTGTCATGCGCACTTCACTTATGTCACGCAGACGTGCGATGACAGTCGAGCAGGTTAGCGTAACCAATCCGTGGGTGCGTCCAAGTTGCTATATCACTCTCACTCAGTACAAACCGAGTATACGTGATCGTCTTGCCTTGAGTGACACACAGTGGGAGCAGCCTGTCACTATTCACATTTGCTGAACCAATGCCATGCGGACCGATGACATCTGTCCACACCGATGCATCATGACCAACGCGCGCATTGAAATCACGCAGGAGAAATTCTCGGTCGCTCTCCGGCACAGACCGTAGCACGGAGGTTAGCTGAGTGTATAATTGACCACGCATGTCATCAGGATAACACATGGTGGCAAACATTGTTTTTATTATTTATTATTTATTATTGTTATTCTTTATTTCTTAGCTCATCATGGTTGTATAGCAGCGAAGCTTCATTTCAAATGGCTGATTTCTTGCTGTTGTTGGTTGCTTGTTGATTGATGAAGGCGTCATCAGAAAGCGCATTGGATGCCAGTCGACTGAAGCCAGCATGCCGAAAGCAAGCTTTGATGGTTGCACTGGTAATCTATCCAACTTTTTGAAACGAACTGAATTCCATTGAAGGCAGAAATCTTGGCGTTAAAATCCACTGCTGATGATAAGCAAGATAAATCGTTTTTGATGTGATAAAGAAATCGGTCCACAATTTATTTCCGTAACAGATTTTCAGATCCATAATCACACCTTGGTCCATGGGTTGAAGAATGTTGGTAGTGTTTGCTTCAAAAAATTAAAATTGAATCTTTTACAGGCTTTCTTCCTGTAGTTGCGCTGTGCAATTATCCAACAGCAACATAATTTTTCGACCACTTAGACCTAGCTCCTTGTCGCATTCGAAGACCTACTAAAGTGAAAAGGTCTTTCGAAATCTACGCAATTTGTTAGGTCTGTAAGTTACGGGAAGTGTGTCCACTTCACGCCATTAAAACATCGGGGTTTCTTACGTTTTCCAACCAAAACTACTTTCCTTTTATCCGTGCCTGACATATTTGCGCAGCACAGGAGAGTGATCCTATCCATGGCTTTTCTGGATCTGCTGAGCTTGTCGGTAAAATACGGTAAAGAGCCCTCTAAATCTGTTCGGTGAAAAAGACCTGTTTCGTCTGCGTAGTACATGTTGTAATCATCAAATGCATTTAAAGTTCAGGTAGTGAATATTTCAGTAAATTTTCATAGACTGCTCTGTCAGTGGAACTTTTAAAGCCTTGCGCATGTTAATACACAATTTGAGTTCTATACTTCAATCGTTGCAACCATACTTCTGTGACTGCAAAGGATTTTCCAAGCCTTTCCCCGAATTCTTCTGCCTTTTTCTTCAGAAACGGGCTTGTAACTGTTTGGTTTTGCTCACGAACCGGCATCATCCAGTCCTACAATACAGTTTCATCTTCGTCATCACTTCCACTCCGCTTGTAGTGCCATGCGACAAATTCTGCCGGAGTTCCTATTCGCTGGCATTCAACCTGGCTAAGGTACGACAATGAACGTGTAATTCATGTGACAATTTGGCCTGAGAGGTTGCTGGTGAATAAGTTTTAATTTCGTCCAAAACGTCCAACTTTTCTGCCAAGGAGATATCCTCTCTCTTACTTGCCATACTTGTGTGTAACAAATAGAGAACTGAGGAATGTGCAGCAGAAAGATTACCCGACTTTGCTCAGTTCTCGCGTTTTGACTAGGGTCTAGGATTTGCCTACAGTCGTCTGTAGATTTAGCTTACTCGTGTATTGAACGACGTAGGTAAACTTTTCTGATCCGTTAACGTCGCCGACATCTTTGTTGTTCTTGACTAGATTGGACTGTGGGGTAACCGGAATAAAAGATAGTCGTAGCAAGGGTGTAAAATTGACAAGGCGACAAGAGTACAGCCTACGCAGCTGGGCAATTAAGCGGTGAGACGATGCCGGCAACGGTCAATTAGACGGCGACAATTTGGCATATTTATGCAAAAAGATTTTGTACCTTTCAAAACTGAGCAATAAATCGGGCTGGGCTATAAACCAGGTGGGCAATAAAGCGAGTTCCACTGTATATAATGGTTCAAATTCTTAGTCGCCTGCTTGTGTTTCGCCATCGTTTGCTTCTTGACAATTGTTTAAACGTATCATTCCTTTGCTTCGATTATCTGGCCTATGTAATCCATGATGGATGCTATCTCAGAGGACTATTTCCACTAACACCATTTCTTCGAACTAGTCTAATTAGTTCCGAGGTTGTCACTTCTCATTCGCTCATATTATTGCTTTGTTTTCTCTGATGTTGGATGGCTCCAACATGCTTTAGTAGCTTTGCTTCATAAACTACTAACTCCCATACAAGGAAGCAGTGTTGTGATGCACACAACGCGGTCCCGGCTCATCTTCGTGTTCCGCTTGTGGTCGTGGGAGCGTTAACAGTCATCAGCGAAACAAAAAATATGTCGTTTGGCTGCAAACGGAGGCGCATTCCCAAGTTGTGCCGTCACATTTAACACAAGTGTCTGCGACTATTCTTCGCTACTTGATTTCAGATGATTACCTTTTCCATTTGCTGGATGCGTTACAAATTCTGGGTCGCCCACTATTCGAAATTTCGGATGTATGGTTTTCTATCATCCACAGGACTCGCATTACGAATGACGAATACATTCGCGAGTCACGTCATTGAAACTGCCACCCAGCACATATACACGTATATGAAAGATAACAAGCGCATCATAAGCTCGAACTGCCTGCTTTATACCGATGACATCGAGGTGTGGGGGGGGCGATCAATACACCAGAAGATACCACAGTACTTCAAGCCCATCTGGTTTGGAACTAAGCGTGGTCAATCCAGAATCTACTTCGATTCAGTGTGGACAAGTGTACTGTGCTTCACCTACGGCACAAGCTGGTGCACTTCTGCAATCTTGTCAACCAAGAGTTTCAAACGTCTTCTGGCGAGAAGGAGCTGGGTGTTTTTGTTCAGGTCGACCTAGGATGTTCGAAACAGCATGAAACGGCATCTAGGAGGGGCATGAAACACATGGGCCTCCTGAAGCTTGCATTCGGACGGTTCGACCCTTCGATTTCTCTACAACTTCTCCGCTCATACATACGGCCACTTGCGGAATACGCATTACAGTTCTGGAACCCATGGCTGAGGAGAGATCACACGTCTTTGGAGACTTCCCAACACCTGACGAGGAAAAATATCAAGGGTCTGCATAAATTGCCGTATGAATGAAGCCTACAAATGCTCTGCGTCTTCAGAGGACAGTATCGGCGATAACGCGCGGACCTCATTTTGACGTATCAAATTTTGAGAGATCCCAACCACACGTGCCGCTTCTTACTAGAGCTCAGTCACAACAGCAATTTGAGTGGCCACCATCTCAAACTGGCAGAGCAACACAGTCGCTTGGAGTACGGTCGGAATGACTTTTCCGTACGCTTTTGAAGAAAGTGGTATGCCGTACCGGAATCTTTCATATGTGCACCCACGCTGGTAGAGTTCAAAGCCCGAGTTGACCGTGCATTTATTTCGCTGCGCCATCTTGCACAACTCATTACCATGGATAAAAAAATGTGTCTGTAAGAGATGTCGCTGGCGGTCAAAGCATAGATTTCGTTCTACGTTTTTCACATTTTCTATGTGTACACCAGAAGGTGACACGATATTTACCGACATCCCATTTGCCGTAATTTCTTATGGATTTACCTGGGATTTACAGTGTACGCTACGTATACTTCAGTGACTTCACTAGTGTAAAACCAATTTTGCTGGCCATTTTTTATGCTTTGTAGTTTCACCATAACTATCCTACGGTATCTGTTAAGCATTAGCTTTTTACCCCTATAAAACTATTGTTCCGTTGTTCCTGAATGTTGCCGCTGCCTTCCATACACGAATATTATATTTTTTTGTAGCGTCTGGTGATACATGCGATATGTCAGAAATGAATGTGGTTAATTCGTATACTGTGAGTCGATTGACACTAGGATATCCGCAGCTATGATACGCTAGACGGTATTTACCCGTTGGAGCAACAAACAAATGAATATGTTCCGTCAGTTTTTGAATGTGTTACGCAAGCCTTTTCATCGTTTAAAGCGTTGCCTCGTTTGCTGGATATAAAATGACTTGGACATTGTTGACGGGAATTGAAGTCCCTGACGAGTAGACTGGTCGCCACTGCTCTGTCTTGTTTTGCCTGAGAACGCCACGCAACCTACTTAGTTCTTCCCTTAATACTCGTAACCGAACTGGTGTATCGCAAACTGCCAACACCCCACCGGATGGGTCCATGGCATGATAATGGTTTACTTGTGGTATAGAGCCGTTGTGACGTTTCTCCGGCGCCGCGTCATCTCAAAATAGTCACGTGTTTAAGACCGTGTTTAGGTGCTCTACCACCTTGTGTTTGCTTAAGATATTTAGCATCCCATAAAATGTTCCCTGTTCCCTCACTCTTATTCGTTCTCCTTACAGAGGTCATCCTGCTTGTCTGGCAGCGAAGCAACCATGTAGCTAATTGGCGCAATTTGCCGTTGTCTTCGCCGTTGCCGCTGTTACCGCTGTCGTTGTTTTTGTTACTGTTGCCCTCGATGATAACGATGATGACGAAACAGGTCAAGTGTGTCACTCATACTCGTCGTACTTGGAAAAAGGAGGTATTAACAGTAAGGACCACTGAGGCCAATAGATAACCAACTTCAGGGAGTGCAACTATTACTCCTCGCTAATAGCGCTTGCATCAGATAGGGATTAAGGGTTGTTGATTATAGAAGCAAGCACCAACCACGTGTAGTGTACGCCTTACTTTTACATAAACACAGGCGAAGAAAAATGTGCAGCACATCATATTTTAGCAGTAATTGAGCTTGAGCAACTACTCACCTCTTCGGTAAGGAATCTTTCCAGGTAACGGCTCATGGATGCCTGATTCGTAGGGTTATTGAAACAAAATGCGCAGATGTTTGTTTTTGTAAGCTTGATGACCTCATCCGTCAAAGCAGTTTTGTCCTGAAAGTAACAAAAAGTGAGCTTCACTGTTGTACTTTACGCACTTTAATGATGCTGATACAGAATGTCGTGAGAAAATGCCGATCGTCTCTGTGTACTCATGGATACGAGTCATCGGCAGTCAAAATGATAATAACTTGAAAGGTTCCCAGTGCAGTCACACAAAACTTACAGTGATTGGTACCTCCAGGAGTTGCAACAGAATGTCATGCAATCCAAGATTCCGTAGAAGATTTTGCAGTTTGCAGAAGCGATGCTGCTCAAAATCGCCAGGTGATTGCCTTCTTACACTATTCATGAATGATGGAGCAAGGCCTTTTGTAAGTGAGATGCTGTCGGCGCCGTACATTAGGATGAGCTTAGAGAGGATCTTTAGGTGGAAAGAAATCATAGTGGGTAGATCAGAGAGTTTCCTGTCGATACAGGTAACTTTGTGCTTGAAGTTAAAAAGTTTATCTGCGCTTACATATTTGATCGGCGGCCAGTTTAAGTTCCCTTCAGTAGTATAACTGGGTTTGCTCTGGAAGGAAGAGCAGATGACAGGGCGTTGTAGCCGACTCGATTTAAAGGGATAACTTACAAAAGCAGCATGTGGATGGGCTTATGCGCAGTTGGACAAAAACGACATGGTGGGTTCGCACACACATGATAATCTTTGACTGAATTATTCAAGTGTGAGCTTCACCATACTTTATAGCTACATTGAAGTGTGATCGAACTGGAGCAGGCCCATAGATGGTTGGTGCTTTCTAACCATCGGGAAAATTCTACGGTATGCAACAACTAGTTCATCTACAGACTACCTACTGAGCGTCGACGCCACGTTCTTAAGCCTAAGACACGAATAGCAGATATGCAAAACGCCGTAATACGTCGTTGGATTTAAACCGCCGTCGTACTTTCAAGAGCGGCCTGACTGGAATTAATATGAGATTTTCACTCTTCTCGGAGTCATGAACAATAGACGGGGGCCAGTTCAGCAGCAAGGTCAGCTTGGTTTCCCAGCACCGTGAGACGGCTGGTTCCCAATTCTGCGATTCTCAACTTATCGGCTATCAACATTCGCTACATGTAACTCATGCGCAAGCTTGTTTGATACTTGTTAGAGGCCCTTGCGTTACACGAACATACCAGTTTCGGACGCATGAGAAAAACTGTACAGGCCTTAACCCATTTATGCCTAGGTGTTCCGTTATCGGAACAGCGGTAACGTATCGTTTATTTGTGGCTTACTCATCAAGGTCGACAACACAGTCCGCTTTATCACTGCCGCCTGACTCTGCGATCAATCTCATAAGAACACCAAGTTTCGATGTGAAATAAGTGATGTTGTCTTACATATGAAGTGTTCATTTGAATATCCCATATAGTAGTAGTTACAAGCACATTCCGACAAAAAATCTCATTGTTTGTACTACGTGACAAAATGCAATTGTTTTGCCTAATGATCCATTTTTGGAACGTATCAGAAGTCAAAAATTGGACAAAACAAAAAATGCACTTCAAATTCCCTTGTTTTTACATTATTATACCTAACGTTTATGAATATGATGCCAAAATTCACAATTGCCAACTTCCAGCATAAATGAGTTAAAGAGGCCAACGTGAGTACTGATGCATAGATGTTGGGGCGATTAATATCGTCAAGCTGTCGTGCTCTGTTTCGTGGACTTTGTTGCAGCATGCGAACATGTCGAAAATTATAAATATCAGCTTCAGCACCACACCACCCCCCACATAGCCTTAATTTCCTTGTATTTCATTCATTTATTTGTTCATGCCGTCATTCATTCATCCACTTTACCATTGTATACCCTTTTAATGCACGATATCGTTATATGAGCAACAAATTCGGGGCGATTTTTCTACAGGGTCTACTGCTTCGTAAACAGTGAACCCACTATGAACTTACGCTTGCTGAATGAGAAATTTAGAACCAGAGTTAACTAATAGATTACTGAAGGCAGAAATACATAGTCATTGTAAGAGTCTCACCATCATGACCGATAGGAACACAGTTTAAACTGATAAAAAACTACAATGTTCCACTTCTCCAAACAACTAATTATCCAAGTATCCAACTCAGGGGACGGCTTCGTGCTCAGACAATTAATTGCATTGAGCATTTATTAATTCGATGCATTTTCCCTCATATTTGGTTCGTGTGGATGCTAACTATATGTAAAGACATGGTAGACTGAAGGCCTGGCTGTAGCATGAGTGCTAAGAAAGTGTCGACTGCTCAGGGGACCTCATCATTAAGCACCTGATTAAACTAACCTCTAAAGTAACGTCCATTTCGGGCTGGTTATCAGCCCACAGATCGGAATTTTCTATATATTTTCTCAGCATTTTACAATCCGCCTCCAGCTTTTTGAATAAGTTGATATCTTCTTGTGAGATTAACAATTGAACCTTGAAGAGACGGAACCAGTCATGTACTTGACTACATTGAAGAGTTGAGAGCGAATCATAAAAAACGGAAGCGGAACTGTACAAACTTACTCACATTTTACAATTTACTCACCTATCACGTTGCATTGTGTTAATAGTAACGATAAAGCCATAAAGAAATGTCAAAACTTCAGGAAACGTACTTGTTTTAGCGTGTTTATAAACTCTCTGTGCTGACTATATTGTCGGAAGAGTAAGTCCAGTGAAGTGGCCACAAGTAAAGGGTCTGATGTGAGGATGATCATCAGTGTTAGGACATTGCAAAGCAGTCGAGCATTCCGGTTATTTATATCAACAGCCTGGGACCTTGCTGCTTCGGTCTTCGACGCACCCTGGACTATGGGGGTGTACACGGAGCTGGATATTAGAGAGGAGAAGAAAGCGAAAGTAACAACGCAATTCCAACTCAGCCATTGAAACCAGGTACTATGTGAAGTCGAAACTAAACACTTTCAGATTTGTGAACTGAGTCCATCCCCGTCCATCTATGTTAAAAAATTCGACATTTCGCAGTGGTTCGAGTAGTTGAGGTCCGGTAACTGACAGAGGTGAAAGTAATTCTCGCAGAAAAGATTCTGTCAGATAAAATTATTTTATATCCTTGAGTAGCTCAGATAGATTGTAAGTAGGCAACTGCGGTGGCCCGAGCTAAGATTGGGACACAAGCTTACTCACTAACCACGAAGGTACTAACGAGAAATACTGGTGATGGCGTAAACCGGTAACACGTTCTACTCATCAGATGGCCAGCTTGAGAAATAGTTACTACGGTATACAGTTTCTTGAAGTGTGATGAAGGAAACCGAAACAAACTAAGTCACATGGACTACACAAGCCATCTGTGAACGACTAGCCTAATAGACAATGCATTCTACTAACCTGAAGGGCGATAATTTTCTAGTCTAACCCTATCTTTAATGTTCTGTCCCATTCTGCATGAGGTGAATCGTGCACTCCAATTTCGCTGTTTAGGTTACAAAGATCGGTCCACGTATCGGCGACAAACAATTTAACATCAAATTATTCTTCGTGACCTAGTCCCATGGAAACCTTTTCTACGCAGACAGTAGTCAGAAAGAGTAGTATGAAAACCAAAAATAATCAACATTCTGTTTAAGCAGTCGCTTACTTCCCCACATTGCTAAATAGGTAGTGTGCACTAAACACGGGCAGATGGGAGCCTTTACTTAATTACCAAAAGCCACACAGCCACGCGACACTGTGCTTCGGTCTAACAACACTGAGACCGAACCTAGTGAGTTCACCAGACTGCATCGTTTTTCTTGTAGTAGCCACGCAAAATGGTCATTCTTGCAGCAGTGACACTATAAGGAGTAATAATAATCATTGCTAGAACCTGGATATGAACAGACCATAGCAAAAGGCTCACATGTTCGTACATTCCTCACTCATTTGGATAGCAGGTTCCACACAACCTAAGCGAGAAAGAGATAAGAGAAAGAAGAACTGGGGATATAGAACACTCAAAAGGCAACCATTTCAGTACCAGATTGGAAGATCTGTTGCATTGCTTTCATTCCTCCCAGAAGGATTATATAATCAGTCAGCGTTTTTTTACAACATATCTGTTGGGTAAAGTGACCTAGGGAAGGTTTACTACAAAACCGGGCTCACTATCAGGTTCTTTGCGAACACTCCTTTCTTTAACCAGAATGACATAGCAAGGGTTACTTGTCTTCAGTGGAATATTCGCTATCCGAAAAAGGCCTGAATTTCTAAGGGAAATTTCGACCAGTCGAATTCCCAAGTACAATGAATTATTAGAAAAGCGCAACGCCCATGCTTGAATCATTACACACTGGAATAAAAAATACAACGCTCAATCATGTCAGCCTAAATTGTCGGCGAAAAGTATAAAGCCGGTACTTGCTAGACAAAACCACGCTGCGTTAACTCTCGTGTGCACCAGTGTTCCCGTATCCAAATCTGGCACAATAAAAGTCAAGTTGCAAGACGAACGCAACCAGTGGAGTTCCATGTGCGAGGCAATTAACATTCGGGTTGAGTCTGCAATGCTGCAACGCGTAGCGCGTCACCCGACCTCAGTGCACTCTGGTGAACCTCGAATTCTTCGAGTAACACTAGACTCAGCAGTTGCGACAGAAGCTGTCCTGCTCTCAGGAGTTCGTCTACGCAACTCACCGAGCGGAATGCGCATATTACCTGATCTAACTTGGAAAGATCGCCCAAAAGAAGCAGGTGACCAACGCGGCGTTCCTAATAGGGATAGCAAGAAAACAAAATTTATTCACGGTGTTCCCGAGCTTCTGCATTCTTCTGCTTATGATGCGCAAACACATGACCGAGAGCAGTGGTGCTACATCCGCGAAGCACTCCCCGTTGACAATGTTATTGCCAAATCCTTGACAATAGTTCCGTCATCACCTAACTACAAGGGCAGCAGGCGAACCGCCAAGAGTCCTAAGCATTTCGATGGAACTTGCGAATGCTACAAATTCTTTATTTGCACAGTCTGGCGGAGAGACCGACACAACAACACCTGCAGCACACAACAGGACAGAGCACAGCATGAGTGAAACATCTGTTCAGGAACGCAACTTGACTGAAATCCATAAACCAAAAAACGATTAATGCCCGGCCGCCTAACGGCCGGCTTAAAAACTAACATAAAGTTGACATGCATCAACGCACTCCTTAAAAAACCCTATCTTCTATGTACACAAACGCCCAACGACTTCTAAGTAAGTTGGCCGAAATTAGAAAACGCCATGCCTCAACTGCGGGACCTTGTCACGATTACAGAGACCTGGTTCAACCTTGAGATAACCGATTCTGAGATCAATATACCCAGTATGCCGCAGCTTCGGAACGATAAAACCGGAAGTTGTGGTGTGATTCTTTATTATAATAAAATCTCCGATGTGAAGCTATCGATCACCTGAAAATCCGAGCTCCCAATTCGCCTTGATGCCGCCTATGGTTGCGAAACAAGGACACATGTCCACTAGCCGTTATTTACCGCCCACCAAACTCAACGTCGGAAATGGACTCTAAACTGAACCACTTTCAGTTTGCTTTGAACAAATCCTACACCCACATTCTAATCGCTGGAGACTTTACCGTGTACGACATAGAAACGCCGGCAACCGACGGTACGCAGTTTAAAGTCGGCTTGCAAGAGCTATGGAACAATGGAACAATGGATTTATGCGGGTATAAAAGCTAAAGCTTGACAAATCCCGTAGGGTGATCAGTGCGAAAATCATAGAAGTGTGAAAAATTCAATGGAAACCAATTCAGTAAAATCGTTTAACAACGAGTCACTGCAAGCTTGTGGACTCACCGAGTTTGAAGTGTCAAAATAATAATCCACTATAACTCCGGAAGGGATCATGAGGTATGGAGTATTTGGTTAAAAGAGTCACCGCCCCTTGAAATTCCCATGGGGCAAAGTGTTTGAGTTTGAAGCGTCAAAATATAAATCCACTGTTGAAATTTGCGTGAGGGAAAATTATTTTTAAAATATGTATTTTGGATCTCTCAAAATTAGACTGTACTATGGGAGATAGTGCAATGAAGTGAGTGCACTATCAACTCGATTTTTGAACTCGATCAGGTTGGGTGCACTGACTACAGATTCTGGGAGAGCATTCCAGGCTTGGCAAACACGCACGGAAAAGAAATTCCGTCGACATTCCAAACGGCTGTACTGCACTGCCAGCTTCAGATGATGGCCTCTCAGATTGTTGTTGTTACTGAGCTCCAGCAGATGGCGGCAGGTATGATTGGGGTCTGTCAGAATCTGATAAGCCAAAATCGAATCTCCCCGTAGTCGTCGATATTGACCACTAAATATCCCGAGCAATCTCAGTCTGTCTTCGTAGCGTAACTGGCCTAAACCTTTCACGTTCTTCGTTGCGCGTCGTTGAGGTTTCTCTAAATCAGAGAGGTCTTTCCTCAGCCACGGCTGCCAGACTTGTATTGCATACTCCACGTGTGGTCGTATGTATGCACCTAGAAGTTGGTGAAAAACGGATGGATCGAAGCGTCCAAATGTGCGCCGGAGAAGGCCCAAATTTCGAATGCTCACGTTCGATGCTTTCTTTGCCTGGGCTGAACAACCAAGGTCGGACTGAATCAAGACTCCTAAATCCTTTTCCTCAGCAGTTGTGTAAAGCACATGGTCACCCAGTTTATAGAAAAATGCTGATTGGTGACGTAAGTGTAATACTCTGCACTTTTCTGTGTTGAGTGGGAGTTGGTTCTGAACTGACCACGCATACACCATATCCAGATCCTCTTGAAGTATTGCGGAGTCGTCTGGTGTATTGATCGCTCTCCAGACCTTGATGTCGTCGGCATAGAGTAGGCAGTTGGAAAGAATGAGGGCCGCTATGTCGTCAATATACATCAAAAACAATCGTGGCCCCAGTACCGATCCTTGTGGTACACCACATTCGACTTGGATTGGGTGGGACAGGGACCCACGCACTTTTACCTCTAAGCTCCGGTGGAGAAGAAAGCTTGTGATCCATCCTAGGAGCGGATCACCAATGCCGAAGCTCTGAAATTTGCAGATCAGGATTCCATGGTCTAGTCGATCGAAGGCCTTTGAGAAATCTAGGTAGACCACGTCCACTCCTGCACCGCTGTCAATTAATTTGGTCCAACTCGATCTTGCTAGCAGCAGATTTGTGGTGCACGATCGATTCCGTCGAAAACCATGCTGTTCATGTGCAAGGAAGGCAGACTCTTCTAGATAGGCTGTTAATACGTCAGCAACAATAGCTTCCATAACCTTTGACAGGACCGGGAGAAGGGTTACAGGACGGTAGTTGGCTGGGTCAGAACGGCTACCGCCCTTGTGAATTGGGGTTATGATCCCACATTTCCACATCTCGGGTACATACATCTGA